AAGTGGAAAACCTAAGTAAGCTATCTTCTCTGTTTGCCTTACTCTTGAAAAGATAGGAGAATGAAGCATGATTTATATCCAGGCTTTACCATCCTTGATTAGAATTAATATTCTAATTGCTATTTGGATTTCAGTGTTCTTGAAACTTTGTGTCCTTTTGGAGTAGGAGTGGTTTGAGACAAATGTTTTGGATTCCCTTTCAAAATAATTTACGTGCCAGAAACTGTGACCCATTTGTTTAGCAATAGTACCTTGGAAATTGTTTCACACGGCACTTTAATTTTCTTACTGTATAATGACAAAGCGTGTTTCTTTACATCTGTCAAGTGAGTCGTATTTGAATAGTCACATTTACAACATCTGTTCCTTGTTTCCTTTCTGTGAATTTTGGAAGCAGTTTCAGTCTTGCCAGGTTAATTTTTGTTTTTTTAAACCGATGCTCCCTGTAAAAGGCTTTAAAGTTTGCATACTTTAAGATTTTAGTAATATTGTAAAATATATATATATATTTAGCTGACATTTCTGTTTTGTTTGTGGCTATCATTTAGTGGCCAAAAAAATACACAAAAAGCCAAAAGACACATCACCTAGAACAAAGGAACTATGTCGTGATTGCTTTTTCAGTAGTGCGTATTACAGTATGTCCATAACTTGAGTTTTGGACCATTAGGTTGGGGCTGCGTGTTTCCTTGAACCAGGGAGCTGCAGTTTAAGCGGCACTGAGTGGTAGAGCACTTGCCCTCCTTTTACAGGAAGGACTTCAGATACTCCATCAGCTGGGAATGGAGAGAGAAATGTGTGTGGCTTCTCTAGTTGATAGGTCATATTTCCTGATGAAAAGTTTAGAAATGCAAGAACAAAGGGGTCAGCATCTAGGGCAGATTTTTCTAAACTCATACTTCCATTGGAAATATTTGAGGCGAACATTTTATTCATTTCACAGTATTTATTGAGTGCCTACTGCCTGCCGCACCGCATGCTTTTCTTAGCATCATGTAAGGGAGGAGTGGTGGGCAAGACAGAAAATGTTCCTGCCCTGATGGAGTTTATATTCTTGTGGGGAGAGAAAGACAGAAGTGAGCAATCTAATAAATAATTCCAGATAGTGATAAATGTTGTGAGTCACCTGAAATAGATTACTTACAGAGAGGATGCTACTTTACCAGAGGTGGTTGAGTCACATCCCAAATGTTGTGAAGGAATCTTCAGTGTAAGAATTTGGGGGTCTTCAAGACAAAGTCCATGGTTTGTGAATCTTGAAGAGAATTGTCCGGTTTTAACAAGTGGAAGGAATGAGGGGAGGCAGAGGCCCCTGCCTGGCTGATGCTGTTGCGGAGTGCTACGAGTCATACTGTGCCTGAGCACAGTGCCCTGTGCGGTGTGGGCCCTGACCGGTGGCTGACCAGCTGCTACTCATCATCAGAAGAAGCCAGTTTCTTCAAGAACGATAAGACGGGGTTGGCCCAGATCCTTCCAGACTCTGTGTGTGTGTGTGTGTGTGTGTGTGTGTGTGTGTTTAATGTGCTTTTAAATCTTTGGGGAATAAAAGGAGAATCATTAGTTGGCAAAATGCCTTATTATTTTTTTTACCCAACTAAATGGCAAAATGCAAGATTGACTAATGATACTAATCTTTAAAATAAATTTACTTAAGAATTAGTAATTTGTTATACTTGTCTAAAACAACACAAACCTTGCATTAATAAATTCAGTATGCTACATGTATTCGTAATAATGAATGGACATCTTAACAGCTCACCTCTGACCTCTCAACAATAAGAAATGAACTATAAATTATGTCGACTGTATTATAGTTCCCAAGAAACAGCCCTAACTCAGACAACCCATTTAGGCTTCACAGGTGTAAACTGTGATAGCTTTTTCTCTTTCATTCTTGATGATTTATGGATCAAGGACATTGTTGTTTGTTTGTCTATATTTTATTGTTTTTGTGAGAGAGAGAAGGAAAGAGGGGAAAGAGAGATTGACTTGTTGTTCCACTTATTTGTGAATTTATGTATTCACTGGCTGATTCTTGTATGTGCTCTGACTGGTGGTCAAACCTTCGCATATCTGGACGACACTCTAACCAACTGAGCTAACTGGCCAGGGCCAAGGACATTGCTGTTTTAGAAAAAAACAAACAACTAAAATATGTGGAGACCAAAGTCAGTTTCAACTAGACAGTTATTCACTTTTGATTGGAGAAGAACCCAGTGATGAAATTCTTATGATAGTGTATTACTTTCTTGGAAGGCTGACCATTGTGATTTAGTTTAGTTTTGATTTTCACTTAGTTTTGCTCAAAGCAGGGATTCGAAACACTTTAACTGTGAAATGTGGATATACTTTTGTTTCCATCAGTGAATAAGAATTACACAGTTGCAAGTTTTGGGATTTGTCACACTTTTAATATTTATCAAAAACCTGTTACGTTGCAAGTGTGAGTGATGCACTGGCCCTCATAGTCCAGTGAACACGGTAGTAAGTACTGGGGCTCCAAGAGAAGTTTGGGAAGTAACGATGGAGCCAGAAGCCTCTGAAAGCATGTTTAACGCTGTCAGCAAAAAGTCAGCAGATGGCTTTGCCTCTTTTAAGAGCTGTGGAATACTGGCTTTATTACCTCAGCTTCTTAACATGAGGAGATATACGCTGTTTTTGAAAATATTGTTTTGAAAGTTGACAGCAACACTTTTGCAAAGCCCCAAATCTTTCTTGAAATAAGTTTACTTAGAGCACTGACCTACAGTTTAGGAATTCTTGTCAGTGATTCAAACTTGAAAGTAAGTTGTGGGATGGGGGTGGGTGGAGAGGGAATCAGTCACTGAGCACATGTCTTCCAGAAACTGGATCTGTGGCAGGTTTCTCCCTGGGACGCTCCCTCCTCTTGTGTCTTGTGGAGTTGGCAGGAGCTCCATGGTCAGTCACACTGGTCTTGTGCCTAGGGTTCCCGCAGTGCGGCCCCAGGGAATGTTCTAGGAGACTGTCTGATGAAAGAATAGCCTTGAGAGCCTTAGGGCATTATTATATATTTTTTAATTTATTGTATTTTTTCCATCATCATTTAGCCCCCTTCCCCCTCCATCCCACCCCCTCCCCACCACCTGGGCCAATTGCCACACTGTTGTCTGTTTTTGTAAGTCCTTCAAATATTTTTAAATTGGGGAATGGTTAAATTTTGCATTTTCAAAATTTCAGTCTGATCTTGGTGTGGAGAATGAATTAGGAAAGAGAGGCAAGAATTGAGGCAGAAGCAACAGTGAAATGGAGATGTATTAAAAGTTTGGGAGAAAGGAAATGAAGGCTAAGATTAAGATAGGAGGAGTGAGTTGAGAAAAATTTCCCATGGGGAAATGAGCAGACATTCAAAAATAGTTTGCTGTTACTGAGGTGTTTTTAATTCATTTGCTTTCACTTAGAAAAGATGATTTGATTAGAAGGTGTGCTATGTAGATCGACAGAAATAACAGAAAAACATAGTCTGTCTGCTCCGTCTTTTTTTCCCCCCCAGAAAATTGACCTTTGAAATATCCAGGTAAATAATTTTAATATTTTTAGAGCATAACTTTGCCTCTGAGACATGAAATCTCTTAAACAATGAAAATGGCACTTTGTAAAGAGACCTGACAGCAGATACAGGGTGTATTAAAGTGGTGTGTTTAAAAAGCCTTGATGTCATTTTACATGTCATGAAATACTAGAGTTAAAATGTCTTAGGGATGCTGAGAGTCTTTTCATGGTGTTAAAATCACAGCAGAGTCATTGTCTTCTTTTATTGATTTTAGTCTATAACTTTGCTAACTTCCACCAAATTGGGAGTATTTCTCCATTATTATTATTAATGTTAGATATGACTTAATAAAAAGGGCTTCATATGTGGCATTTTGGTAAACATTTTTCGCATATATAATATTTATTAGATATTTTAAAGGGGATGGTTTTATTTTGTTTGCATAATGTTGAAAATTAGGCTTGATGAATTAAATGTCTGTTTTTACAAAATTTTAATTAATGTATGAAATAGTTAAAGAGAGAAGTCAGACACCCTACATAAAACCAAAGGGCATCTTCTATTTTGCTGCTTGTCTTAAGGAAAGTTCTCTTTTGTGAATTGTCAAATGATTTGTTAGAGTACAAGAACTATTTTGACATAATAGAATCCAGAAGAAATTTATCTTTTATTTTTGTTTTGGTATTTTAGTAAGGTTACTTCAAGCTATGTAATTACTTGAGATGAATGTTTTTAATTCCTTTGGGTCATATTCTCATAGCACAAGAGAACTATTTTTAAGAACGATAGGAAAATAGGTATACACAGAGCTACAATTCATATTTTTGCAATAAAGTCTACCAGAGGCTCACATTTCCTTGATTCTACTGTGAACCTCGTGCACAGTATTTAAGGATAAGGCTTCGACTGTTACATTTTGTTTCCTAGGGCAATTTGGCATTGTCTTTCAATATTAAATACCTTATGTATGATTAAAAGACATTCTTAGTTACTTACAGTCATAAGGTTGTCAAATGGAGGAAAGCATGGTAGTGTCTGTATGAGTGTGTGTGTGTTTGCTTCTGCATGTAACCAATTTCACAGTGGCTTAGCTGTAAACACAAGTCCCTCGCTCCAGTTTTCATCATTCTGGGGTTGAGTGCTACAAGGTGGGTTGCTCTACATTCAGAAGTTTTTCCATTTTTATTTACAAAGAAAATATTTTCACGACTCAAGGCTTTTTCAATAATTCAGATGGTATTGTTTTGCCTTCTTTTTCTTTCCTTGTAAACTCAGTGACATAACCTATAAACTTAGGACCATATGGTTTGCTTTAATTATATAAAGTGTCAGTTTCCTATATAATTCTTTGACTCAAAGAGAAAAATGCCCCTTACATACTAAGTACTCCCTCTCCCTTTGCTACCTTATCCTTGTTTTGCATTCAGTTGTTCAGATGTGTTCATATTTGGCCTTTGCTGTATTTACTAACCCTATTCTTTGCTTTTAGTTAACAGCCAGGTCCTTGCCTGCCGTGCAGTGTGATGAGAGACTTCAGCCTCTGCTTAAGCATCTCAGGTAATATGAAGGCACAGCCTTGTTAATGCTTATAAATGCAAGCGCATTATAGCAAGTCAAGTGTATTAAAGTGGCGAGAACCCTTTCAGTTACTGAAAGCTTAGGGTTTTTTTTTTCTTGCTTTAATTCAGTGACTTAAGATGAAGTTCTTAATACAATACACTTGGTACCATTGATTTTAGGGTACTATAGAAAACTGTTTCAATTCAATAAAAGTGTGCAGAACTAGTTGACAAGTTTAAGTTAAAATGGGTAGCGATGACTGGCAAAAGGATGATCACTAAGAATGAGCTGTTTACTTAAATACAAAGCCTAGTAATACTTTGGGACCGCCACATTTATTGTACCGGATAGAGGAAGTAGGTAGGATTTGTTTTCCAAATACAAAAATAGTGTATCCTCATTAAAAACAGACAAGCAAATTTAGAAAATACAGGAGAGTAAAAGGAACATCCCATTACCAGTACCCAGAATCCTTCTTCCTTTTATAATGTTTTAAAATCCAGTTTTGAGATTATACTTTTATATACTTTGTTTTTTTTCTTTTAAAATAAAGATTGTAAGACTTTTTGTTATTAGAGTCTCTCCAAAACCATAATATTTAGTGGCTATATGATGTTTTCTTATTTGGATATACTGTAGTGTATCTCTCTTCGAGGGGCATTTAGACTATTACAATTCTTTTCACTAGTATAAAAAATGCCGTATGTATACCTTTATCTATGTTTTTGACCATTTCTTTAGTATAGACTTTCAGAAGGAGAATTCCTTTGTCAAAGCGTATGAACCATTTCAAAGATTTAAGTATATGTTTGTTAAAATCGTATTCTACTTATATTTTCATATTTTACAAGATCACCTATATTACCATACTGTAAACAAGCTGGGGCAGCCAGAACAGTTCCTAATTTAATAGTTAATGTAGAGATACTATTGTGATCATGTACATTTCACTTATTTAGAATGGTTTTAAAACATTGTATTACCGGTTTTTATTCTAGAATGGGATTAACTATCTGTATCTTTGCCCATTTATCGATAGCATCTCCTGATTTGTATTTGATCTTAAGTAAATACTTTCAATATAAAAGATAATAACTTCATTATATTTGTTACAAACTTTTTTCTGAAAGGTTTTAATTATCCAACCTACCTACATTTTCAGGTTTTATGTAGCCAAGCACCAATAGTGGTTTCCTTTATGGTTTAGAAATTTTTTTAACCACTTGTCATTCATAAACTTGGATAGATACTAATTTCTAGTATCTTTCAGTACTCTTTCTTTTTTTCTCCTTCTCTACTTTTCCCACTTTCCCCCTCTCCTATCCTGCTCTCTAGTAACTTTTCCTTCCAGACATGTACTTTTTAACTGTGTAATTGTTTTGTTGGGTGGGGAGCGGGGGTCAGGCTACCATTTTTATTAGGACTGAGTATCATAAATAGTATGCCTGGTTATTCAATGCCCTAGAGCATTGTGTTAGTGAATCATGTTCGAGTCACTTCCCCAACCCACTCCCTTGCTCTAATCTGTTGGTGCTCTTATCTCCAGAGTACCTATCTTACTGTGGTAGCATTTATCTGTTCTGGACACCAACTTTGTCCTCTCTAAAATATTTCTCATAACTTCTAGAGTTATTATACTATTCCTTGGCTTAAAACCCTTCTGTCCCTTCAATTTTATTTTGCATAAAGTCTGTAGTTCTTAGTCTCACATACTAGGTTCTCTGGAAGAAGCCTGGCTTGTTTCTCTGGACTCTTCTTTTAGGACTCTTACCCTAGCTTCTAGTGCCATCAAGTGCCTTGAAGTTGCTCTGATACAGCATGTTGTTACTCACCTCTATGCCCTTGTAAATATTCTTCCTTCTGCCTGGAATGCTTTTCTCCCTTTCTGCCACATTTATAACTTGACTAAATTTTGCTTGTCCTTTAATACTTAGCTCTTGTCCTCAGTTAGTGCCCACCTCCCCTCAGTCAGAATCTGATGTTTTTTATATGTGTTTCCATAATATCCTGTAGCTACTTCAGTATTACAGAACTTACGATGTTGTAATTTTCTGTTCACTTGTCTCAGTACTCCAGTATAGTATGAGCCGCTTAAGAGCTTGTGAAGTGACTTTCATATTTGTGTCCCCAGTGTCTGGGACAGTATCTGGCATGCGACACGTATTCATTATGTATTTTGTTGAGTGAATAAATGTGTATTACAACATTAATATTTTGTTTTTACTTATGCATAGTTTTTATAATTCATAAATCATATTGTGACAGTGTTTCCTATAAAACCACTGGTATAGAAGATACACACTTAAACGGCCAAATCTTACCTCTAGTCAATGCTCGATTCAGTGCGATAATAATGGATTTGCCTTCCTCCACCTCAACATGGTAATTGTCAACTAGAATTTAGATTGACTACTGGCACATCTCTTCGAGTCCTTGAAACTTGCACAAACTGTACATTCATTTGGGGCTTTCATTCTCTGTGTGGTTCACTTCTGCCTGGTTGCTAGGCAACCAGGGCTAGATGCTACATGTACTATGCACCAATTGGTGTTGCTTTTTTATTATTATTAAACCAAATGGTCTCTCATTTTATTACCATGTCGGAGACATCTGTATGTAGGTTGGCAGTTGATGTGCATAGTTTGACACTTCCTTTTGTATAAAGTAGCCTTGTGATATGGCTTTCAATCATATTGAATTGTCTCTTCGCTGTCTGAACACAATGCTTTTTTTTTTTGCTTAGGTCAAAATAGGAATGCATACTATTTGGTTTGAGAGACTGTAATGATAATCTCGTTAGAAAAAAATAATCATTGATTTGCCTGAACTGTATAGTTTAAATGTTTGGTGTAGAGGGGATGGACATTAGGAGGTTGAGACCGAAATCATTATTAGATCTAATTTTTAGTGTTATGATCAGAGTGGAATGATGACTATCATTGTAATTAAATTTGTCAATAAAACTAATTTGGGATAATGATATAAATACTTGTAAAAATGGAAGTAGCAATAGAGAAATTTACCAATCATTTTATAGGACTTAAATGCTTGAAGAGCTTTGGTATAACAATTATGTGTTTGGAATTTTAAAAATAGACATGATTTCTGTTCTCAAGGAACTTACAGTTTTGATTTCATTTGAGAGATAGATAGGCATTTAAACATGTTACAAAATTTGTAGACCTTTCTATTAAGAATTTAGCACAAAGTACTTAATTTTATCAGTTGAACTGTGTCCCCTGAGTGAATTATTTTCTTGAGTAACGGGGCTGTGATTTGCTACTGGTTTTAGGTTCTGTACACCCTGGCATGGCAGCAGCTCACAGTGGGCACTGAGGTTGAGCTGCATGTTTACTTGGATGATGTCGTTTCATTAACTAAGAAGAATGAAGGAAGACAAGGAGAAGAGGGAATGAATGTGATTGCTGAGATTGTAAATTGAGTAGTCTCAGACATTTTAAACTTGAGATGCCTGTGTGTGTATTGGGAAGCATGTTTAGTTGCAGGATATTGTGGGGGTGGTGATTAGTAGGTAGCTGAATATAAACCACACTTTACGAGTGAGGGGTACATCAGAGAGAGACATCCGCTAATAATCATCGCAGTGCACCTGGTGGTTAAGTCAGGGGCATGGCTGCCATCACTTGGGGAAAGAGTATAGAGTGACAAGAAAAGGGGAAGTGTTTCTGAATAGAACCCAAAGAACATCAGTGTTTAAGTGACTTGTGATGAGCAGCAGTGGAAATAGGAGATGAGTTAAAAGAGAAACCAGTGAAAATACCAGGGAGGAATCTTGAATGAAACAGGAACACAGCAAAGGATTGTGATATCAGATATCAAAGGTACTAAGGGAAAGATTTAAAAAAGGAAAGGTAAACACTGTCAAATCCCACAGGAAAGTCAGGTCAGAACTACATAATGTCAGTTGGATTAGGCACATGTGAGTCATTGGTGGCCTGGCCACAACATTGTAATGGTACAGGTACAAGTGTGATTCCTGTGAGGAGCCGAGGAGCAAATGGGAATTGCGGCTGTGCAGATGCAGGGAGTGTAGGCTGCTCTTGGAAGAGCAAGGATGGTAAGAGGACTACTTCCCCTTTCAGTGAGCCTCATGGTTGAAGAAGTGTGTGTTTTTTTCTCGTAAAGTTGGAAAGATGAGCATATTTATAGATTAAGGAGGAAATGGTGTCTGTGAGAATAAGATGAAATAATTGAAAAGGGAAGTTTTTAGAGGAGGTAGGAGGAGACGGGATTAAGAAATCAAACAGGCAAGGGTTTACAGACTACTTTCCAACATGACTTTTTAATTCATACTCAGAAAAACCCAGTGAGGGCGAGAGACGGCCACTTATCATTGTCTCTATTTTAAAGTTTGGTGATGGAGCCTCAGTAAGTTCACTTTAAAACCTGATTTTCAGATGAAAAGGACTAGACTTCCTTTTGGAAGAGATGAATGGTTTATTTTATAAAACTTTATTATTTTTGAAAATTGATACCAAGAACTTCTCCACTGGAAGAAATAAACTTGCTTTATTAGACTTATACCCAAATATTATAAATTCTAAAGTGCCAGGGAGAATTTGTGTAAACATTGTTTCTGCTCTCCCCAAGTCACATATCATCAGGTACGTCATCTAGTGAGTCTACATCTCAATGTGACTTCACAGTCATTCCCATGTATCACTACGTTTTCCAGGATGGACTCTATAGCGTACTGATTTTTTAATTTGGAGATATATAAAGGTCTTAGGGTATGTTTCTATGAATGTAGAAGTTTGTTGTACATAAGTATTTTTGCTACCTTATTGATGATGCCCTCGGGGTAATATTTATAAAGTAGTACTGAACTATCAAGGGTGTATATTAAAGATTATTATTTTTATTTATTATGTCACAAACACAGGGTATAAACAAGTGAGACTAGAGAGGAAAACTTGCATATCATAACTTTAGTTGTAATGGAAATTTTTTCCTTTAAATATAATGCCATTCCCCAC